GTGCAGTGTAGCAATGATGAAATACACAATTTTCCTCTAGTTCTTGAATGCTTCCTCCCCCCAACTATCATGATCTCAATTGTACTGTATATATCCGGCTGGCCCGGAGAATGTACACTGGCACAGATCGGAATTGGAAATGTAGAGAATCCAGGACAGAGAACCCCTCAGGACCAGTGGTGAGAGTGATGATACCAGGGGGTGGTGGTGGTGGTGGTGGAGGGAAGGTGAGGGAGAAAGGAGGAACAGATTACAAGGTCTACATATAACCTCCTCCCTGGGGGATGGACAGAGAAGTGGGTGAGGAGATAATGTCAGATGGTGTAAGATACGACAAAATAATAATTTATAAATTATCAAGGGTTCATGGGGGAGGGAGGGAGGGGAAAAATGAGCTGATACCAAGGGCTCAGGTATAAAGCAGGTGTTTTGAGAATGATGATGGCAATATGTACAAATATACTTGACACAATTGATGTATGTATGGATCATGATAAGAGTTGTATGAGCCCCTAATAAAATGATTTAAAAAAATAAATAGGGGAAATAATTTTTAACCATGAAAAGCAAATACAAATACTTGTTTCTGGTGTCTAGTTTTTTGAAGTTAGAATGTGTGGGAAATTCTGCATGCTACCTCTTTTATCCATAATATTATACCAATCCTTAGCTTTCATTATGATTGATTCTGTATCGGAAGGGTATTTAATGTATCTGTGTCCAGAAAGACTACTTTATTACATAGGAAGTAGTTATAGAAAGGTAGGTTGGGCCAGTTGTGCAAAGCATAGCATATCAGACTGAGAAATTTGGAACTTTTGAAGGCCTTAGAGAAGAAGAGTGTTGAAGCTGAAAGCAATTGGGTTGGAAATATTAGCCTTGGTAATGAAGTAAAGAGTGTGTAAGGATTGAAGGACTAAAAGGAGGACAGTACTTAGTTTACTATTGCCTACAGAGCAGATTAGGTTGGGGCAAACGGCCTGGAAAGGGTAGCTTGAAAGACATACTGAGTAAGACACAGCGGGACTTGGTGGTAAAGTCCAAAGATAAAAAGACCAGCTTTGAGTCAGAATGAATGGAAAGTGAAAGGAGTGTGGACTATCTTACTGAGGACAGAGGAAAGGAATTCAGTTTGTTCAGTTTGTGCTTGTTGAATATGAGTGTTTACGTGGAATATATCTTAGGCTTCATGAGACAGGTGCCAACAACATAGAATAAGAAACAGTATATGTTTTGGATATGTATATTTAGTGGTAACATACATTCCAAAGGATCTATTTGAAGCAACAAAATAGGTTGCATTAAACGCTCTGTTCACTGGGAAAAGTTAAAGAACATGGAAGGGGAGAAGGAAATCTGTGTTACAGAAGCCAAAGAATAAGAACATTTTGAAGATAATTGGCTCATGTGGTACATTTTTGTTGGCTCAAGTGTAAGGGATAAAACTAGGTCATGGAGGGTAAAGGGGGAAGTACATGGTTAGAAAATAGAGTCATTTGGGTATAGAAAGTTTGACACATTTGGTACTTAAGTGGAAAAAGTATTATACTAGATAGGGGAGGAATCAGGATAGTGATGCATATTTTAGTGGGGCAGTGACCTGCACATCCTTTGGAAGACCTAAGGATAGATAATAAATGCAGAATGATTGAAGATACAGGAGATGAGACTCTTTAGAACTTGGAAAGGTAAAATTTTAAGTCAAATGGAGGGGCAACCTTAGGGACAAGTGGGCTCAGTCTAGAATCAGAGAATGCAGGACTTGTTTTAACAACTAAATAAATTGAGATCAAGGGAAGGTACACGAAAGAAGTTAAAGCACACTCATGCGGTGGGGGGCGGTATTCATCTGTGAAGCAGAAGAATTCTTTAAACAACACATTGAGAGTGATTTTAACATGCTAAATTTTGCTATTGGACCCAGAACACAGTATCATAAATTGATTTAACTTACTACAGACTCTTTTTGTTAGAGTGCAATTAATTGGGAAACTAAATTAGAGTAAGTTTTTATTTTTCTGTCTCTCAATTTCTGCTACAGGTTATATCTTAAGTGTTGTGCTACTAACCTTGCCCAGGCAGCACCTGGTTCAGCTTTACCTATATTTTTTGACTGCCTTGCTCCTCTATGCTGGACATCAAATCTCCAGGTAAGAATGTCACCCTGTGTTTGGCAGAATTTAAAGTTTTTTATTTTTTCAATAAAGTACTTTTTATGAATAGTATTTGGAAGCTAAAGCTATTCTTTGGTAGATAGCCAAAGCAGTTTTTAAAATACGATGGATGATTTACAATGGAGAGTATACTGAAATTTGATTTAAAGACTGTCTTAATATGAAACAGGCCTTGAGGTTATGTTTACAATGATACATAAAGGCTTTCTTATATTGCCCAAGAAAAAGCAGTAGAAGAATCTGGACAATTACGGCCTTCACAGGTCATTTTAGGATTTCAATTATTGAAATTTGAGAGTTGGTATAGAACGCAACATCATCCACCACGCAGCATGGAGAGTTAATATAAATTATATGATAAGGTTAATTGTCTAATTAATTGTGTAGCTCAGCACTACTACCACTTCATCAATATTGCTTTAGGGGTATGGGGTACACCTAAATTTTAAGACTTGGGTTTACTAGTGAATATGAGCTTTTTTACTTTGGAATAGAATATTAACTATAAACAAACCCAAAATGATGCCATAAATATAATGGGATCTAATGTATTTGAGGCATAAAATTTCCTTTGCGGCTTAAATTTATTTATTTATATTTTTAAGTTGAAATGTATAGGCATAAAATATTGTTCCCACTTTCAAAAGAGTGGCTATTAACCTAGTAGATGTGACTAGACAAAATTATCTCAAGAGGTCTGCAGCAGATTTTTGTGTAGACTTGACATTCAGTCTTAGAAGTATCATTTTTTATATTAGTAGAATTGAATGCTTGGTTTTTAAATCACCTTTGTTTTGATTGTCATTGCTCAGTGTAAGCAATGAACAGTAGAATTTTAAAATGCTGTAATAATCACCTGAAAGTATACCATCCACAATTAGGCGTTATTAATCTGGTGTTTTCCCCGGTTTTTTATACCTCCTAGTTTCCAGCTTGTCAGCGAATATAAAGGAATCAATATACTTAATTATTAAATGGTCATGGGCTCTTGTCCTTTCTTGTTGAAGCAGAAGTTCCAACCACCTTTAATATTTCATACAGTTATTTCTGAAGGTCCCTAAGATATTTCTCAGATATTCAGCCATCTCAGTAATCTGTTTCTGCCTGGTTGATTTCTTCAGCTTAAAATGATGCTTTCAGGGTGGTGTGTCTTTCTCTTTCACATCTGATCTTTGCCCACATGTTTCCATGTATGTCAAGAGTTGGAAAATCTGGTGCTGTTCAAGTGGCACTGCATTTCTTAAAAATGCTCACAGGTGTGGAAATCAAGCTGTGTGCCACTCAGAAGTAACCTTCCTGATGTTAGGTACCGTACCACCCAGTCGATTCTGACACACAGTGGCCTTATGCACAACAGACAAAGCACTGACCAGCCCTGCACCCTCCACACCATTGTTCCTATGCCTGAGCCTGTTGTCGCAGCCATGGTTCCAATCCACTTTGTTGAGGGCCTCCCTCTCTTTCGCTGACCTCTTTCCTGATAGCGTCTCATGTCTTAGATTCCTGCCTGGAAACAATTTAAGCTTCTGTCTGTAGCATCTCTCTCCTTAAGACTTAGGCTAGTTGTCGAGGAACCACTGCTTATAAAGACAACACGATGTCCTTTCTCAGCCTTGACACTGCCAATTCCTGCGACTTTACTCAAACACCAGAGTATCAGCCTGCGGTAGAGACACTGTTTCATCTTCTTGAGTTTTCCAGAAGAATTTATGGAATATATTGCAGTTGTTGGAGTAAGGTTCTGGGGATGTCACCATTTTGATTTGTGAATGAGTGCCTGGGCACCTTAGAGGCATGCAGATAGGGTTTGGAGGGAAGTTTGGTTAGGTCCAAGTTTTCGGTTTCTTACTTGCTCTATAACTTCATATGTTAACAATTTCATAATTTATAAAATGATGGTAACATCCAATAGTGCTGTTTTTAATCTTCATTAAGTTAAGATATTTGCAAAACTTGAAGGACAGTTTCTAATATATAGGAAGTGCTTGGTGAATTAGTGTTAACTCACATTCTTAGGTCTTGTTTTTGTTATCTATGCAACAGTGATGTGAGCATTTTCCTGGCAAAGTAGTCTTCAAGCACCCTTGGCAGGTAACTTCTTTGAGATTATGAAGACAGTGGGCATATTAGGGAGTTGGTTTTGAATTCAAATCAACAGATTTCAAGATTATGATATATGTCAGTATTTCTTTCCTTAGTATAATTTGCAAAAGAGTTTACATCAGCAAAGGTTAGCAAAGATATACTATTTTGTGCTTATTTATAACGTCACATTTGATAAATACTGAGTTGCTAACATGTCATAAAATATTCTGGTTGAAACTTTTTCCTTTTTTTGAAAAAATTAAACCACAGTGGCTCAGACTTAATGGCAGCTTTATAAGCAAGTACCTTAAAAAATAACAGTATTATTAAGATATAATTCACATACTGTTCAATAATGAGTTGGCTTGGAATTGAGCAATCAAAACTGCATTTGATTTTAGGGTGTTTACACCCCACCCTCCCCCAAAGAAACCCTATACAGCAGTCATTACCATTTTCCTCTAGCTCTCCCTCCCATTCCTAAGCAGCCCCTGTCTACTTTCTATCTCTATCAATTTGTCTCTATTGGACATTTCATATAAATGGAATCAAACAAGTATGGTCTTTTGTTCCTGACCTTGTTCATTCAGCACATGTTTTCAAGATTCATCCATATGGTAGCATGTATTTTTATGACTGAATATTTCATTGTGTGTTTAGATCACATTTTGTTTATCCATTCTTCAGCTGATGGAATTTGGATTCTTTCTACTCTTTAGCTATGATGAATTATCCTGTTATGAATCTTTATGTAAGGTTTTTGTGTGTAGACATATGCTTTTATTTTTCATGGGTATCTACTTGGAAACAGAATTTTTAACTCATAAGGTAACTTTGTGTAACCTTTTGAGGAACCACCATCTGGTTTTCTAGCCCGCCTGCACTATTTTATTTTACATTTGTCAGCATTGTTACTGTTTCACATTTCATCACAAGTGTGTGGTACTTCCAATTTCTGTGTATGGGCAGCGGTATTCCTTACTTGCCTTTTTGATTATGGCCTTCTGAGTGGTTGTGTAGTGGTATTTCAGTGTGGTATTGATTGATATTTCTCTGGTGGCTAATGGGTTCCCACTTCTAATTGTGTGCGCATTGACCATTTTTAAACTTTTGGAGGAATGTCTTTTTAGATCCTTTGCCTCTTTTTTTTTTTTGTGCTGCTGCGGGCCTTTATTCAAGGGACATGCGGCACCCTCTAGTGTGGCAGGTGGCTGCGGCCAGTGGAGGGGCCTGGGGTCTGGACAGTCGAATTCTGTACTGGACTGTGGGCTGCAGCGGCTTGTTGGCCACATGGTGCCACACGTGCGACCAGAGCAAAGGCTCTGCTGAGGGCTGTCCAGCCGGGCAGCATGTACTCAGGTCCCTGCACAGGGCCAGGCAGAAGGCAGGCGGGGTGGGGGTGGGGGGGTGTAGTATGGCTGTGGTGACTGTCCCCCAGATACTCAGTGTCAAAGCTGGGAGGTAGGGGTGCCTTTGCCTCTTTTTAGAGTTGTTTTACTTTTTATTGTGGAAAATGTGTAATACATTCTAGTTGTAAGTATATATGACTTCAAATTTTTCTCTCCCATTTGGTGAATTTTATTTTCATTGTTTTTGATGCTATATCCTTTGTGGCTCACATGTTCACAAACTTAACTTCAGGAAAAAGAAAAAGAAACAAAACACTCAGACCCCTCCCCACCAGTAATTAAAAACATTTGTACTGTAGCCCATAATCCAGGAGAAAGTATCAGTAACTTTTTGCAGCTCCCCTGATGGCTCCAGGGCCCCCATTCGGTGTGGTATCACCCACTGTAGGAAACACTGTTCTAGATAAAGATCCTTCATGAAAACACACAGTCATCTGATTCATTTTTGCTCATGGCAACCATGTGTGTTCTTTTATAGTTATTCTTAAAATAGCTTTTCTTTTTAAAAATCATTTAACTTTTAATTTCTACTTTGGCAGTGCCTTCCTAGGATGGTTCTGTACAGGTAATTTCTTGTTTAGTTAGGCTATGCCCAAGAAATTAAACTTGATGGCCTAATAGGGAATAATTTCATGGGTAAAGTAAATAGTGCCATATGAGTTTATTCAGAAATACCTGAATATGGTGTCACACTGTCTTAAATGAATTAGGCTTTTAACATTTAAAGAAAAGGGAAGAATATTTTTGTGCAACTTTCCCTCTAATATAAAAAAGAGTTTAAGAGAACAACCTTCCAATGCCAAGCTTAATAATAGTCCATTTTTATGCTCTTTATCAGTGCCCTAAAAGTTAAATTTTATCAATGCAAAGGCTCTCTGGTTACTTAAAATTCAAATCTCATTTACCAAATACATCTACTTAACATTATGTCTCAGTAATCATATATAAAATTAATTACATTTATAAAGGAATTTGAGCTAAAACTTGTTTCAAAATAAGTTTGCAATCTCCTTAGAACACCCTCTGTAGGGTTCATAACATTGTGTTTTGAATTTGGTGAAACTTTACAGAGCAGACCATCAGTTTTACATTCAACAATTTATAGACCTTTTGTTTCATTTTATCCATAGTTGTGCCTTTTATCCATATTTGTCCCCTCCTTGAACACTCCTTATCCCACTTCCTCCTTGTTTCTGGTTTTTAATTCCTCCTCCTTGCTTAACACTCTGTGCTTTGTTCTTGGGTAAACACTACCCTTTTGATTTTAAAGGGTTGGTTATTCTAACAAAGGGGAGTTCAGTTCCAGACCTGCAAGGTGACTAAAAGACTGAAAATGGCAATTTTTAAAGTTTGCCCATCTATGAGATATTTTTAAAATTAATTTCTGGTTTTACCAGTAAATAATGAAGTTTAATTGGGAACAAAGTTGAGGAACATAGGGCAGAAGTCAGGATGAAGAAGAAACAAGTAAATTTAATGTAATATTAGCAGGTATTTCAGTAAGTTAATGAGAAGTATTGGGAGTTGGTGTCTTAACTGGCTTTTTATTGGGCATAAGATACTTAATAAACTCAAGGTGATAAGAAAATCCTATGAAATGGAATTTTGGCTGCCTTCTTTGCATCTAAAAACTCATGTAATACATTATGTCTCTTCAGTTTACAGAGGAAGGAAAATGCTATCCTTATGTAATTCCTTATGCTTAAATTCTTTGAGTATAAATAAAAGAAAATAAGTGCTAACAACATTCTTCTATAAGAATATAATGCTTTGGCTGCTTCCATCTGTCATTACTTGGAAGGTACCAAATATATTCTTATCCTTTATTTAGGGACTATGTTAGAAGTGAACTGGAGTCTGCCTATGAAGGACCAATGTATTTAGAACCTCTCTCCATGAATCGATTTACAACAGCCTTAATAGGTAAGTGTTATAAATTAGTTGTAAGTATAGGAACTGGTGTTTACCTAACAAAAAACCTAAAAATTAGTTATTTATGATGACTCTTCCCAATTGTAGCCGTTGTTAAATGTTATATTTTCTTATCCTCCCAACCCCATGTGGTTGTATCTTATTTTATGTATTTATAATTGTATTATATATACCCTATAGGAGCCACTGATTGATACAAATACAGCACTTGACAAAAAGGCTGACAGTTTAAACCTAGTGAATTTGTGTTCTGTTTTGCTTGTATTGCTGTATAGGAAAGCAAGCCTAGTGATCTACTTATAAAAGGTAACTTTAGGCTATAAAACACCAAACTCAATACCCTCTAGTCCAGTGGTTCTCATTCTTCCTAATGCCGCGACCCTTTCATATAGTTCCTCATGTTGTGGTGAGTGACCCCCCAACCATAAAAATATTTTTGTTGCTACTTCATAACTAATTTTGCTACTGTATCTGCATGAGGGTGGACCCACCTGGAGACAGAGGAGCAATGTCTGGGTTCCTAAGACCTTAGGAAAATATGGTCTTAGGCGACCCCTGTGAAAGATTCAGTCGACCCCCCAAAGGGCCTGCGACCCACAGGTTGAGAACCGCTGTTGTAGTCGATCCTGACTTACATGACCCTGTGCAGCAGTTCTCATCTGCACACGTGAGCTTACCCAATGAGTTATAACCCAGGGGACAACAACTAGCATGACCAAGATACATATTCTCGTAGTGGCCACTTCCTTCTTCCCCTTTCTTTTTATTTTTAAATTGAAAGGTCATTTTATTGGGGGCTCTTACAACTCATAACAATCCATACATAAGTTGTGTCAAGCATATTTGTACATATGTTGCCATCATTCTTTTTTAGATATTTACTTTCTATTGAGCCCTTTGTATCAGCACCGCCCCCCCTCATGACCCCTTGATAAATGATAAATTATTATTTTCTTATCTTACTCCGGCTGCCGTCTCCCTTCCCCCTTGGTTTCTGTTGCTTGTCCCCCTGGAGGGGAGGGTGTGTGTAGTCATGTGTTGAGCATTGTGACCTGTTGCCCCTTCCTCGTTTCCTCTCCCCACCTCCCCCCTACCCTACCCATCTGGTATAGCTATTCCCATTCCTGTTCCCGGTTTCAGTGTGTTATGAGCTCTTAGCTGTACCTGTGTACATGCTCCGGTCTAGTCAGTAGTGAGAGGCCCCTTTCATTCTTAAGGATATCTTAAAACTTGAGAAGATTAATTTTTAAATAAAGCCCATTACTACTTATAAGATTAAATTGAAATATGTAATGCCTGGCATTTATTTATTACTATTGAGATTGATAACTCTATAGTTAAATAAAAAGAAATTGCTAGAAGTTTCAATGATATGTGACAAGATGGAATAATCAGGTAGCAGAATGTTAAAAATAGAAATGTTGGCTAAGGTCCAAAGATCAGATAGCTACATTCCAAAGTGTCACTCTAGAGTTGCAAAAGAGGAAGTGAGAGGAAACCTGTTTTGTGACTCTTACAGTCACCCCAGAAGAAGATGCTGCACTTTTGTCTGCGTGTCCTCTTGTATGCAAGCCCTGAGCTGCATAAAGGGTGTGTGTTTAAATATAATTTTGAGATTGTATCCCCGATATTGTGACTCTTCAAAAAGTTTTAAATAATTAATAAAGGGTTACAGTGCATCATCAAAAAAAAAAAACTTGGTCTGGACAATCTAAAGCTCCGGTATCCAAATTGGCCACATGTTGGGCACTTGAAGTCAGGCTAGTCCAAATTTAGATGTGCTGTAAATGTAAAACACACTCCTGAATTTGAAAACAGCACCCAAAAGAAGGTAAAGTGTTTTATTAATAGTGCTTTATGTAGAATAAATGTCTATATGATAGTATTTGGGATATGCTCTTTTAAAAAAAAATGCTATGGGCTCCACATTCTACCAATTCTGACACCACCCGCTCTTCTCATGGGACTTAACTTTCCCTACACTTGACTTTTCTGCTGGGTTTGATAATTCATTGCAAAGGCCGCATAGGTTCACGGTTATAGGGTTTATTATGGAAGTTGACAAGTTACTGTTCTCAGGATATAGCTGGTTAGCCAGGATAGTTTCTTCTCTGCCATGTCCACAGGTAGACCTCTCTCTGGCTCTCAGCCTTTTGGCCTGACCTCTGCCCTACTTAGGCAATATTTCAAAGTTCTTTTAGGGCTGCCAATAAGTGCCCAAAGAGCATGCACTGCACTGCATAAACCTCAACTCATAGGCACTCAGCTACAACGCCATAGGTCAGCAAACCCATCTTCCCCAGTTAATTACCTGGAGCACCCCACTCCACAAGCCAGCCTCCTGTTCCAAGTAATCAGCTTGAGTTGCTCTTTGGGCTGGAAAGTTCTCTAGCTTGTGTTCTGGCTCCTGATTTCACTCCTTTTGTACCTCTCCCACTCCTTGTGCCCTGAATCAAGGAAGCTCATGCTGGGATCTTGGGGTACAAAAGATGCACTCTCAACAGCTGGTATTATGGGCTAAAGTAGAAGGCAAATATTTTGAGAGTGATGAGGGCAACAAATGTACATACGTGCTTGACACAATGGATGTATGTATGGATAGTGATAAGAATTATACGAGCCCCCAATAAAATGATTTTTTTTAAAAAGATGCACTCTCCTTGGCTCTTCTCTCTTGTGGTAGCAGGATTCCTTCTTTCCTACTTCTGAGAAGTAGGAAGACTTATTTGGGTATGGGATGGCAATCACTGTTAACCATGAGACTCATCTGATCCAAATAAAGAGCCACGTACTGGCTGGCTGCTATTTTGAATGTAGAGAGAGAATGCCGTATGGGATCTTCCGATGTCTTCTGGTCTGTGGAAGCAAAGGATGTGGTAGCCCTCTCGTCTAGGTGAAGGCCACTAGAATCTCTGTTTTTTTAGATCCTGTCCAATGGGGCCCCTTACAGGGATGAAAAGACCCAAACGGAGATTGAATTTCCCCATTCCTAGGAGCTAAGAAAAGAACCAGAAAATAATCAGAGAGAGATACATGACAACCATCAGGTGAGCAATCTACACTGATGGGAACAATCTCAGGAGAACCCATAAAAGGGAGAGAGGACCCACACCAAAAATCTCACTGCCACTGAATGTCTTCCAACTCATTCCAACCCTGTATAGGGTTTCTGAGGTGAAAGGAAGTCGGTTTTACATAGTCCAGGTTCAGTGAAGAGCCAGGCCAGATCTCCTTCCTCACTTTACTCCCCACGTGTCTCAGTCATTGATGAGTCAGGGCAGCAGAGGTAGAGTTGTGCTGAGAAGCCTACCTCCACATCTCCTACCCATAACCCTTAGCAGGTCTGAGCCAGAGAAAGAATGTGCTGAAGTGGAATTTCTTTTTTTTTTTTCCTCTTAGCAGTTTTATTGGCATATAATCCACACATCATACGATTCAGTAGTTTAATCACATCAAGAAGAGTTGTGTAATTATCCCTATAGTCAGTTTTAGAACATTTTCCTCATTCTTGTACCATCCATCTCCCTCCAACCTCCCTTGCCATGCCCCCAAAGAACCTTTAATCCAGTTACTCTCTCCATAGATTTACCTATCCTTCATTTCATAATACAGAAAAACATTTAAAAAAGGCAAAAACTAACAACAGTAACAAAACAGATAAAAGCCTCAATCAAAAAGCAACAAATATTAAAAGCCAGAACAAGTTCAAATGGATCATAAGTGTCATCAAATGATAGGATACTAAGTTTTAACCTAACTGCCTCTGAATAACAAAGTGGAATTTCTTGATATGGTTCTTTTAACTCCCACCATATGATTGGGTGGGACTATGCAAATAGAATGGGAAACACTATTAGAAGGAATTGGTTGGTTCGGGTTGCCATTCGTCTGTGTTTAAGAATGAGACACTCAGAGAGATTTCCCATTCCATTCAAGGAAGGAGGGCCTCAGTGGAGCCTGTGCTACATCCCTACCTGAAGTGGCAGAGGTTGTAGTGACCACGACACCAGAGACAAGGCAAAAAGACTGAGACAGAGGAGAGGAGCAACACGGAGACTGTGAAACAGTAGTGGGCGGGCTTCCTGGCCCATGGGACAAGGCAGAGACCAAGGGATAATCCAGAGAGAGACTTGGCTGTTGGCTGACAAGAGGCACTGTAGTGGACCAATAACTGTTTAGCTGACTCTGACTTGTGGTGGTTTGCTAGCTTCCTTAGTAAATTCCCATACTGTGGATTTTGTCTGACTTATGTGTAGACATTGCAACAAATTGCAGTTAACCCAGCAGAAAAGTGGAATGTCTGAATGTTTGATGTCAGAATAGGGTAAAGAAAGCTGGAGGTGCGGGCAGACATGTCTGATCTTGTGGCAGTAGGCCTTGGGCTGGTATGGAGAT